CTAAAGAATACAGTCTTATGGTATCAAATCCCATAAATTTTGCAAAGAAGAACTTTGGACACCTCAAAAATAGAACTGGTAAGGGAAGTACAGTTGAGACAAGGTGAAGGATGAATGCTCATAGAAGGACAAGGTGGGGAATGAAAACAAGCTGGTGGAATATTCTGGCTATGACTACAATTATTGTCATGGCAAGAATCATTTGGCAAAAAAGAGCATGATAAAAATATTGAGTATGAAAAAGGACAAAGAATATAAGGATGGAGCTTACAATCTTCAGAAGATTGAAGAGTATAGAAAGAAGAAAGTGCTGATAATGCTAAGCCTGCTTTAATTATGCAAGAAGATGATGACGAGTTTGGAAGAGTGTAAGTTTGGTCGACTGATTCAGAGGATGAAGAAGTTCATAGACCCACGCATGGTGAGTGCTTTGTTGTGAAGGTTGAGGTCCCTGGATATGAGGGAAAGTGCATGATGGTTCGCAATGACATTTCGGAACAAAGCGATACACCACTGATACCAAAAAGGATTCAGACATGAGACAACTGCTTCGCTGTGAAACCTGTCTCTGAGCAGATAAGTGAATGTGAGAAAGTGATCAGCAAGGTACATTCGAACCTCTTAATATTCCTATCTCACAATATGAAACTGAATTCGATGATTCAAAACTTACAGTCTCTCGTTTAAGTGATAGTTAAAAAAACTTGTTTAAGTAGTACTAACTGATCAAATCAGTAGGGTAACATCAAAGAGTGAAGGGAGACGAATGTGGATTGAGAAGTTGGAGTTGGATTTGTCTAGGTCTTGGGATGATTTGATTTGTTTGCAACGGGACAGTTTAGGTCTTTTGAAACAACGAAACATTTTCTATTTGATTATTAAACGTCTTTATTTTAATATTACTCAGTTGCATATTGATTGTGAAATAGGCAAGAATATCCATAAAATGATCTTGCCCTTTGTCAAATTGAAAGAGGACGAAATTGATGCAAATTGCTATGAATGCGAATCTATTGTCTCCTCTGACGATGTCCTTTATTCTTACAGAGTTAGATTAGGCAAATTTGAAGCTTACAAACAGTCCAAAGAACATAAAGACATGCTGAAACAAATTTTGAGTGAAAATGATAAAGAGCAAATTAAATTTGATACTATATAGAAATTTGACTCATTATGCACAAAATTGAGTTCAGAAAATACTCTTAATGTTCAAAATGTATCTGAATTTGATAATGAAAGTGATATGAGTGAGATTCCTATGGAGGATGAAATTGATTGTTAAGAATTTGTAAAAAGTGAACCTAAACCACAGAAAAATCTGATTTATGAAAATTCCATTGAGTATGTTTGCATTTCAAAAAATAGTGGTTCAAAGGTTTTAAAAGAAAAGGCAACAGTTTTTCTGAAAGTTCAAACTGTTCCGAATCAAGTTTTCGCAACCTCTATACTGAACAAAAATTAGACTTTAGAATTATCGTCCCTCGTAGAAAAAGACAATGAAGATGGGTGCGACAAATACTTTTGGTCTGCTCCCATTGCTAATGCAGATGAAACCGAAGGTCTATCTGAGATGTCCTCTTAGAAAATGAAGGGAAGATACGTGGTAGAACCACTGAATGAGGTCAATTCATGTTACGAGAAAGGCAGTCCGAGTGGAACCAAAAGTGTTCCAAATGATATGTCATTTGAACAGACTGACCCTCCTGTTAGAAAAATGAAACCTAGGGCTAGTGTTCATTAGTCATTAGAGAAAATGTAATTCAAAACAAAGAAGGAAATGTGATTCAAAACGAAACTAGACTGGTCATTAAAGGGTATTTCCAAGAAGGTATTGACTATGAAGAAACTTTTGCACCAGTAGCACGGTTGGAGTCTGTTCGCATCTTTTTGGCATACGCAACTCATAAGAACTTTGAAGTCTATCAAATGGACGTCAAGTTTGCCTTTCTAAATGGGAAACTAGAAGAAATAGTATATGTGGAACAACCACCTAGGTTCGTAAAGGAGAAATATCCAAACCACTGCTACATTCTGGATAAGGCTGTTTATGGTATGAAGCAAGCTCCACGAGCATGGTATGAAACCCTAACTCGACCCAACCTTCTGATGATCTTTTTAAAACAATCTAAGTTTAAACAAGGCTCGGTCGACTGAAACTTCTTTTGAAAGAAGGATGGTGACCATTTGATGATCTTCTAAATGTATGTTGATGATATCATTTTTGGATCTACTAATCCTAGATTAACTGCTAAATTCCGAAAATTGATGGAAACTAAGTTTGAGATGAGCTAAATGAGTCCAATTAACTTTTTCCTTGGATTGAGTATTAGACAGAGTCAAGAAGGAATATTCATCAATCAGGAAGCTTATACGAAGACATTACTGACCATGTTTAGAATGGTGGGAGATTCGAGGGTAAAGGTTCCAATGGCATTCAGAACAAAACATACACTGTCATTGGAAAAACCGACCGCTGATATGACTCTTTATCGTCAAATGATAGGATCATTGATGTATCTAATAGCAAGTTTTCCAGACATTATGTTTTCAGTTTGGTACTGTGCCAGGTTTCAGGAAAATCCTCACGAACCACACATAATTGCAGTTAAGAATATCCTTAGATACCTAAAACGAACAACCTTGCTCAGAATATGGAACCTTTGGAACTAAAGGTTCTTTATGCAAGCATTCTATGGCGATGATTTTGGAAAATGTGGTCTGGATTGGAAAAGTACAACTGGGAGATGTCAATTTCTTGATGGCAAACTTGTTAGTTGGAAATCAAAGAAACAAACATGTGTATCCCTGTCGACTTCTGAAGCTGAGTATATCGCAACTGCTTCTTGTACCTCGCAAGTGATTTGGATCCAGAGTCAGCTAAGGGATTATGGAATTAATATGAAGAGAATACCTTTATATTGTGATTCTGAAAGTGCAATTTGCATTTTCCACAACCTAATGCAACATTCCAAGACAAGGATCATGTGGAAGATGGCAATGTCGAAATTCACTTTGTGAGATTTGCTGATCAATTGGCAAATATCTTTACGAAAGCCTTGCTTGAACAAACTTTCAATCATATTCTTCAAGGCTTAGGAGTGATAGAAGCAGAATCGGTTCCGAAACCATCTTTGTAGTTGGTAAGAATTCGTTGCGAAGGGGTCCGAATACTTGGAGTAGTTCGGAGTATACTATTCACGCTGCGAATTGGTCTGAACGCTTGGAGCCACTCAGAGTTCTCTATTCATTCGTAGATTCGGAACACTTTGTATCCTTTTTATATTTATTAATTCCTATTAATTAGTGTTTTTTTAATGTATATTTTTTGTTTTTATTTCTTTTTCAGAAAATCAAAAATCCAAAAATATTTGTTTTTCTGTTTTTATTTCTTTCAGTTTTAGAAAAAATAAAATTCAAAATATATTCTTTATTTTCATTTTTAATTCTATTCATAGTAAAATCAAAAGACCAAAAATCTTAGACATTTGAGAAGGCTTGAAGGTACATATTCTTTATGGTCTCAATTCCGAAAGAAGCGATATGTATAAAATTCCGAAACTTTGCACTAGTTAAGTGTCCCTAGAAGCATGTTGTTGCATGTTGTCTGAAGTGTTTGAGAATCTATGTTTGAAGACTTAATGAATCAATAATACCAATCGTTTCTTCCCACTCAGGATAAAAAAATTCACATAAGTCATTGAGCTACCTTACTCTTCTCATTTTGAGTTAAGAGTTAATTGCTTGGTCATTCTCATATAGCAAAGGTACATCACTCTTCAGAACCACCTCCCATTATTTCTCCATCATTTTCATTTCCACATTCGTAACCCTTGAGACTCTTAGATATTACCACTGAGGTTTATGGTTACACAACTTCTGTGTTTATGATCTGAAATTCATTATTACCACGAATTGTGTGAAACCCAACATCCAACACAAATTTCAAAATTGACGGTGAACGATTACCATGTCCTATACTTTTCATCATGGAATTGATGAATTTTAACCCTAGTGGTTCATACCTTGAAATCTCATTATTTTATTTTTGCCAAGATCTTAATGAAATGTTCTAGACCTAAGACGTTTCTTCCCAAGAGATACAATTTCTTTTTATTTTTTTTTGAGATTTTCACTCTATCCAACTACTGAAATAATTCCAAAGCATACTTGTTATAATGGCTACAAAGGTCAGACAAGTACTTCTTCCGAATGTTCGGACTTATGGTGAGTTTTGGAGTTTGGTTGAAGATGAAGCCACCCTTAAGCCTAAATGAGAAGAAGCCTTTCACTATTTCTCAACAAACAGATGAACATAATTCAACGAGATGTCACACAAACACTTCCGAGCTCTCTTGACTCCGAAGGAAGAGGTTGTTGCCCAGGGTCCATCTGCTTTAATGTTAATTATGACATCACAGATTTCCACATATATATTTTGAGTTATTTCTTTATCTTTAGCACACTCTTGCACGAAAATCCTTGTGACTTTACAAATGTCTGGCCTAAATAATTCTGAATGGTTACTTTCATATTCGGAGAATAGGAATTGGCGAACTATTACGAAAGTGAAAACTAAAATGGTGGATTTTAAGGGATAAGATTACGATTTTGGCACGTGAAAATTTCAAATAGAGCCTGACATCACGCCGCCTAACACACGCAAACATGTCATGCCTTTTCAGGTGTTTTTTCAGGGATTGTCGAGTGCCAACTACCATATTTCTCTCACCTTACATGACGTATAAAAGGCAAATTGACATTTTATTCCAACTCACCACTTTCATCAATTTCAATCGTCCAACACAAGAAAAACCCTTTTCGCTCTAAATATTGTTCATCATCTTCTTCATCAAGTTACCATGGATGCTTCGTTTGACACTCCCTCTACTGCTGATCAAACTACTTCATCAGGCCTGCTGAGTATCAAGCCCAATTAAAATCTCATCTTAGACCTCGATCCATCCAAGTATGAAGCTTTTCTCCATTCATTGATCGAGTGCATGCGACACTCTCTTGTGGATCATGCTCTTTCAATGATAGAGAATGTTCCTTTAATTCATCTATCAAAAGCTTTCTCTACAGCTCGCTACCTGGAAAGTGGGTCGATCATTACTTTTGAAGTTGGAACTCAACAAACCTCCATCACCAAGGCCGGATTTAGCCAGTTGCTAGGGTTTCCTGCTTCTAGGGATTTGATCGATCCTGAATCTATCTCCTCTTCTTCCATATTGGAGATGTTCTTCCAGAAGGGTTATCTGGAAAATCTTGCTATCTTATCTAAGTTCAAGAAGCCCAATCTTCCTCCCATGTGGAATGGGATATTTAACCTGATTTTTAAAAGCTTCTCAGAGAGGGTAACGGGTTTTGACAGTGCCAATAAGCTCTTCCTCGCCATTCTTTACAGGATATTCTAGAATCAACATGAATTATGGTTTAGTTTTGTGGGCTCATCTAGTACAGAGCACTCTTTCTTCTATACGACACATAGAAATTTCGTGTGCTCGTTTTTGGTCTATCATAGTTCAAAGGGCTATTGATCATCACAATATTTTGGTGATAGGGGGTTCAGTTATTGTTGCTGTTCTTATTTTCCATAACTTGAACTTCATTGTGTCAAATCCTACGAAGTTCGCATTTATTGGCTCTCTTCCAGAAGCTATGTTTAACTACGTCCCAACCGGTAACGAGCTTATCAATGAGTATAGGAAGACACCTGAATAAGGTCCACATCCTTTGACACTTGAGATGCAAAAGGCTTTGGAGGAAGCGAACAAGCCAAATAAGGGTAGGAAGCAAAAGACAAAAGCAGGTCCGTACGAACCTGCTGCTACTCCGAAGAAAATTATGCGAACTGCTCGCAAGACAAGATCTCCTTTTCTTGTTGCTCAGGAGGAATCAGAGTCTCGAACATTTTCGGAGGATTTTCAGACTCGCAACGAAGGTGATGACACTGCTTCTACTTCACAACCTATGGTTTCGCATCCTTCTCCTACTCGGACCAATCCTGAGGAATCTTTCTCAATACATTCTATTCCCATAACAGATGAATTTTTCTAGGATTTTAATCCACCTTCTCCTACTGCTATTACTACCCCCATTACAATCACACCTTGTCCGAACATCTCTATTAGGGTTTCGTAGCCAAAAGTTTCAGTTACATTATCTACACCCTTTTACATAGAATCCACAACAACAACCACTAATACACCTCCAATCTTTATCAATGTATCTGATATGGGGGTAGGTACTTCTGGTGTGTCTTTTGGTCCATATTTCACTCCCATCTCACCTCTACAAATTTATGATCCGGATATATTCTTTGGGGATGATCGAGTTGGTTTTCATGATTTTCAGTAGAGACCATTCACCTGTTCAACAGTCTAGTGATGATGAAGATGCCTCAGTTACGAAAGGGCAATTCAAAGATTTGAATGAAATTTTGGACAAGATCTTAGAATCTACAAAGTCATCTTCCTCTTTTGAATACATGCTTGCATCTCACAGAGCATTAATAGAAACTTTAACGAAGGATCATGTTGCGATTCTTGCTAAATCCAAGAAGGCTATTGAGGATTTTGAGAAAACATGCAAGGAAACGACCAAAAAAAGTAGAAAAACTACTTTCTGAGGCTACAACCTTCATGGGTAGTTTCCAAACCTCATTCGAATCAAACACAGAAGCTGCAAACAAAGTGATATCCAGCCTTGGTGTAACTCTTTAAATAGAGAAAGCATCTATTGCAAAGGTTCGAACTAAAATTCCAAATTATCATGTTGAACTACAAACATCCATAACTTCCAAGATCGAAAAGCTTCAAGCCGATCTTGCCACTGAGAACGCTATAATGGATAAACTAGCCATCAAAACTGAAAAGGTGGAGTTTGTTTCAACCTACCTCTCTCATGCCAACAAGGAGATCAATGCGCTCAAGTCTGAACAGGCTATGATAAATAGTCATGTTGCTGATGTACACCTTTTTCTTCAAAATCTTCTCAAAACTCGTGATTTGTTGCTCATAGTTTCTATTAGACAACATTTGGCTATCAAGCTTAAACATTTGTTCTCAATGCTTATGTGACATCCCCAAAATCACGGCCAGAAAAGACCGGTTTTGTTTATACTTTATTTCAAAATCAGAGTAACCTTTTAATAAAAGAGTAGTGGAATTTGTCCCAAAACAATATTATGATAAAGAGTTATCAAAAGCATTTTCTTAGAAATGTATTTCATTAAAAGACTTGGGATGTCATGTTCGATACAGTACATAAGTATAAACAATACAATATAAGCCTTACTACATTATTTCATATCTACTGGCCTATATCCACAATCCCTCATCCAAAACATCACATCTATTCTCATGCGCCACTACCTGTAACACATAAAACTGAGTAGGTCAGGCTTGGGAGCCTGGTGAGCACATAGGGTTTTCAACCCACAATAAATAAGTTTATTAATTTCATCAATCAACAATAACCCGATTACCCATTCCCGTTATCCTCACATTACGTCCCTAAACACCTATCATCAGGGACCTATCCTAAAGATCATCATCGGGATGGACACTACTGCTAAGGGGGTTCCTCAGCAATAAATGTCCTAAAGGAAACCATGTGGGGGATGGAGTACACCGGTGAACACATCCTTCACAAACATGTACAGGTTGCGAGCCTGTTAGTGTTCCACTGGACTGTCTAGAAGAGTCTGTGGTTGTCATCCATACTCTGCTAGATGACAGAATCAACAACATCAACATCGAGGCCTCTCATCATTTTATCACACATCACCTATTACATCTACCCATGTTTTACCCCAACATTTTTGTAGATATAAAATAAATATACAGTTTAAATCATTGAAAACATGTACAAAAACGTTCTTCCAGCATAGATAGCAAGTATTCAGATAATATGCACACATAGCACGTAATTTATATAAAAATACTTCATATCTATGTGTAAGCTGAAAGTAACTATGCACTCACTTGAAAAGGTGGTGACTCAGCACTCTTACAGCGCTTCGATACTCTCAAAACGATTTTCCTTCGATAAAACCTAGTATCGATACCACTAGGGTTTAGTCTAACGTCAACCGCGACATATTAATAGTTTGACTGTTATTATTATTATATAAGTGTTAAATAACACTCAATATAACTCATAATAATAGCCAACATTCCTATAATTATTTGAAATCTATACTAAAAATTGCGTCAGTGTAGCTCACTTACAGTGAATTTTATCGAAAACCGGAACTTATATGGAGCAGCGTTTCGAAACTGAAAGACTCCTTTTTCTCGGGGCTTCCTTAGGGTGCTAGGGGTTCACCTAGACTTTAAGGAGGGTTCAAAACCCTACAGAGAGAAAGATTTTAGAGAGAGAATGAGAAATGGTGTGAAAAATCCGGAAGAGTTCGCATGTATTTATAGGGGCTGGACCTCGGTGGTATGCTGGGCGTACCGAGGGAACGCTGGGCGTACTCTCGGATAGAGTTGCCAGCCGAAGTCAGCTGTCTCGCACTCCGGATGGATAAGACCCGAAGGTACGCTGGGTGTACTGGATCTCGTACGCGGGGCATAGGGTGAAGGCGAGGTGATGTGGCGCTGATCAGAAGCGAGCCTTATCATCGGTATCGGACGGCTGTGTCACTGCCACATCAGCTACTTCGCACCAGGTCGCTCAAATTCGATTCCGAACTTCAAAAATTCGTATCTTGTGCATACGAGCTCCTTTTTTGATGTTCTTTATATCCACGAGAAGGTGGGAACGAACTCTACAACTTTCATTTAGACTCCGTCGGCTAATTTTGAGTTGATTTTAAATTTTTTTATTATTAGCAGGCCGCGAAAGGATTGGTCCGTTAAATCCTCATAACTTCTTCATCCGACATCTGTTTTTGCCCATCTTTTTCTCGTTACGTTACTTTTAAAGAGATCTTTGATTCTCGTTTAGGTCGTGTTGACTAAAAACCGCTCGGTCTAATATTCGAATTTCGGGTTGTACACTAGTAACTTGAAACTTCGAAAAATCATAACTTACTAATACGAAGTTAGATTTGGGCATTCTTTTTATCGATGTTCTTAGTTTAACATATTCTATGACTTTCTTTTAGATCTCTAAGGACAAATCTCGCTCAATCATAAATTCACTATTTACGTTTCTTGGTATCGTGTCGGTTCTGTCACGAAACTTTAACGTGTCATAACTTCTTCGTTATAACTCGGATTTCGACATTCCTTATATCCCCGGAATCCTTGTTTCGACCACTACAACTTTATGTAGAGATATCGGGCTTATCTCACACTTTAATTTTGACGCTTATTTTTATTCTTTATTATTTATACATTTATAATTAAATTTTAAGCACATAAACACACATAATTCACACATAATACTCAAATATTTCATCTTTATTACTTCAAAAAGAGTTACAAGAGTTGACCTAGACTATTACATTGACAAATATCCTTAGCCCTGAAACCCGGGCGTTACAATTCTCTCCCCCTTAGGATGATTCCGTCCCGAAATCATGCATCAGCAAACAGATGTGGATAGCGACTCATCGTGTCATCCTCTGTTTCCCAAGTGAGATTCGGCCCATTCGGATGTTGCCATCGTACTACCACCAAGTCTACCATCTTGCGTCGTAACTTCTTAGTCTTACTGCCAACAATTGCCTCAGGCTCTTCGATCAGCCTTTTATTTTCATCCATTCTTAACTCTGAGATTGGAATTATATCGGGAACTTCTCCTGTGAATTTCTCAAATAACACACATGGAAGGTGTTATGTATACCATCGAGTTCTTCGGGCAATTCCAGCTTGTAAGCTTGGTTCCCTATCTTCTGAAGAACCTTGAACGGTCCAATTAACCTTGGACTCAACTTTCCTAGTTTTCCAAATCGTATAAGTCCCTTCCATGGTGATACTTTTGGCAAAACCGAATCCCCAACTTCAAAGGTTATCGGTCGTCTTTTCTTGTCAGCATAACTCTTCTGACGATCGTAAGCCACTAACATTCTTTCCCTAATCACTTTCAACTTCTCAGCAGTCTCATGGACTATCTCGGGGCCCATAAACTGCTTCTCTCTGGCTTCATGCCAAGAATACGCCGTACGACACTTATATCCATACAAGGCTTGATAAGGTGCCATCTTGATGCTCGAGTGGAAACTATTGTTGTAGGAAAATTCTACCAGAGGTAAGTGCTCGTCCCAATTCCCTTGGAATTCGAGGGTACATGCTCTCAGCATATCTTCCAGTGTTTGAATCGTTCTTTCGCTCTGACCATCGGTTTGCGGGTGGTAAGCCGTACTCAAACACAACTTTGTACCCAACTCCTCCTGTAGACCCCTCCAAAACCGTGATGTGAAATGACTATCACGATCTGATACAATCGTAAGAGGAACACCGTG